AACAGAAAGGAAGCTGCCCTTTGGGTTAAAATTTTCATATAGTGAGTAACTCGTTGGAACAAAACCTACTCGGCTTCTGTCATGAAATCCAAGGGATGAGCTAACCAGCTCAGGTGACATTTTGGAAAGGGACAGGCTGCAGTAAGTCTTTAAATGTTTAGCTGCTTCAAAATTTCATTTTCAGACAAACTAAATCACTTTTCTTCTTCCTTTCAAATTTAAGCTGAAAATGTAAAAATCCCTGCCAGAAAATTTGGGGATAAAAGACACAAAAAGCAATCTTCCATTGAACCAGATTCCATTTCTGAAGATCAAATAGAGTCAGCATCCTTCTTGACTGCACAACCGCAGTGAAAAAGACGTCTCTCCTTGACCAAATAAGAAAAATCCCTGGAGTCTGATGGATCCACAGCGATCCTGTGCTACCCCAGCCACCTGCCAGGGCTCCTGCCATCTCCAGGGCAGCTCACAGCCGCCGCAGCCCTCTCTGGAGTGCGGAGGTGAGCAGGCAGGTGGACATTTTCAAGCAGGAAATTCTGGTTTTCATTCCAGGCATCCATCCCTGCTCCCCACACGCCCCTGGCACCCCTCTGCAGGCGCCTTGGGGCTCCTTTCATGCACCGCTGGGCACGCACGGGCCCTGGATTCCCCCGCCCCCATTCCACAGCCTGGACGGGGCCTTAACTCCCCGCGCCGGCTGGGCGATGGGGCGAGTCGCTGCTGCCACAGAAAACGCGTCCTTTGGAGGCAGGACTGCCTGCAGATCGGCTAAAGGAATTAGCATACGAACTGCTAGAAGATGTAAAATTAAACTTTATTTAAAAATTCTTCTAATATAGAAAACGAGAGGAAACAAAGGAGTGCCCCCAGTTCCCTCTCATGACAGGAGCTGCTGTATTTACAGCTTCGGGAAGGAGCGCTGGCAGAAGGTACACGTCCTGCTACTGGTGGAGAGCTACAAACACGGAACAATACATTGTACAGAGCGGACAGAACACGGACAGGTTCACCGCAGGAAACAATTACACACACTGGCTAAGACAGACAGTAGAAGAGCACAGACGGGTGTTAGTTCATCCTGATTTCTCCGAGCGTTCCGCACACCCAGAACTACCAACAGCTTCCTTCTCACTCACTCCTTGCCGCTGTGGCATGAACTGCCGCACGTAAGAGAGACGGGTTTATGGAGCATGATCTGGAGAGGTCAGAAATCTCTGGGGTGAAATGGGACACGACTGAACTCCTTTATCATCATTTTACTTTCTGGAGAATTTGGAAAAACTGAATAAAATTAAAGCGTTGAAGTGACATGGGACACATGGTGCTGAGCTCCCCACTGCCCACAGGCAGCACCACAACCTCAGGCCCTGACATTTTGTCAGTTTTCGCTGGTGGCACAGCGAGTGCGCATCTGGGATGACAGGGGATGAAGTTAAATATTTTTTTTTTTAATTTCCCCAGCTGCCAAACTTAGATTTCCTGTGTACAGGGGCCTTTCTGATGTTCGTACTGTAGGAAATGAAACACAACAGGCAAACACTTCAGACTGCGTTCTCTATACATATATAAGTTTTTACACTATCTACAAAACAGGGATTAGATGCTTCTGTATAAGTTCTTGCTACTCCTTTAAAAATACTAGAGAAAAAAACTGTACAGTTCTCTAAATTACATCTTTAGAAGAATAATTTTTTTTAGAAGTTCATAAAAGACTTCATGTTTGTTTCTATAGAGAATTAAATGAACGGACAAGAAAGATTAGAAATATGTTGTTCAAATCAAATTAGACAGACCAAGCACTTAACAGAACATTATTTGTAAACTGTAAACTTCTAGTTTTCTGTTCAACTTTACATACGCATTCGAAAATTAGGAAGAACTTCAGTTATGAGGTCCTTGTTTTCATCTCTGCTACATACAAAAGATACTGAAAAGCAAAAACTATTAAATAATTTAATATACAAGTGTTGTTAAAAAGCACTGTACATTGTAACAAATGTACACTGAATCTCAGAGATAGAAAATCACCCAGTTATTTTCAAATTTACATGATTTTTGAAATTCTGTGATGGGAAGAGGACTCTGGAAGCGGAGCAGAGCTCTGGACTCTGCAGGGCTGCGGGCGAGCGCAGCCGAGTGCTGTTCTCAGCACAGCCCGGGCGAAGCCGGCTCGTCACGGACGGGGCAATCCCAGCTCGTTCCTCCAGCGACCGCATTTAGCAAACGGTTCCTGTTCAAACCTGAGTGCACTGCCATCAGAAGCGAGCAGGCAGCCTTTCCCTCAAGTACTTCCTTCCCTCCTGAGCGCAGACCGAGGGATTTGAACTACAAAGCAGTCTGGTTCCCACACGAGTACCGACAACGAGAAGCCAGAGAACTCCCACAGCAAATCGCTCTCCGGTGACACAACCTGCAGCTCTGCGAGTCCCCGATGGCGCTGCCTGAACGGCGCTGGTGGACGTCTCGCTGCAAAATGCTTTTCTTCAACTCAGCCCAAACCACAGCTCTCCAGAGTTGGGATTTGTTAATATTGTGTTAGAGAAGCAGCACTTTTTGGGGCAACATTTAAAGCAATTTAGTATAGGTGCTGTGGGCGTGTAATCAGTTAAGTAACAGCCTCAGACTGGATAAAAAAAAAGACCAAAAAAAAAGAGAATGACTGGGTTAGCTGAAGGGGCCTCCAGCAGACTTTAAAGTCCATCCTTCAGTTGCTGTCCAGAAAACGGCCGTTGCATTTCGGTGCTTAAAAATGGGTCCTGAGGTCTTGCAACTCAGTGACTTACGGAGGGAACAGCCAAAGACAGAGACTGCTTCCCAGACACAAAAGGGGAAAGACTTAAAAAACAGTCCATGGGGTATTGATACTCCCAAGGTAGGATTCATCATTCCTGATCTAAATCCAGGCACATGACAGCCGCTGACCTGATGGAGTTGTTCTAACAGACGCCAGCGGCCGGGCCGGGCTGCCTCAGACCGACCTCCTCTTGCCATCACCCAGGGCCACACGGCAGCACAGCCACCGAGGCGCTGGCGGGGAGACAGGCTCCTGCCCGGTGCTGAGCCCGGCAGCTCCCGCGGGGACGCTGCAGCAGGGCAGTCAAAGCCTTCGAGGGGACGGGAGACTGCGGGGGAGCACGGCGCAGAACACAAACCCAGCGCTGAGACTCTCCCCAGACCAGTACTGAGGCCGCGTTTCCCCTGTCGGAGATTTAACAAAGCCTAAAACCTACACGGCTTCTGCAAGAGCAGGTGTGTGAGAACAGGATCTAAATCAGCATCGTGCGTCCAGCAGAGGAAATGTAAAAGCCTGTTTTGGTGATTGGAAAAGCACTTGTCTCCTTAATATCATTCAGTGGTAACAATTGAGGGGTTTGGATTCCAAAAAGCAAGTGTCTCTGAGCTGTTGCGAGGCAGGAGACAAGCCTCTGAAAAAGAATGACCACTGGGGCTTGGACTAGATGATCTTTAAGGTCCCTTCCAACCCAAACCAGTCCATGATTAGACAGACTCCACAATACTCCTCCTACAATAAAAGTTCTAGAGGTTTGAGGGGGTCAAATACTTCCTCTAAAATATTCTCCTCCTCCATCAGAAAAAGAAGCAATCACGGAAAGCCCTACACAAGTAATTTTCCTAGCAGATTGCTTTTTCCTCCCCCTTTTAAGCTGGGAGATAAATATGCAGAACTACCAAGAGAAACAAACACCTTTATTCAACCCCATGAACCTCGCAGGCTTTACATGGCACTCTGACATACTGGGACACATCCTTCCTGTAAAGCTGCTGATGCTTCACGGAATGAGCAATTCTCAGACTGTTTTCTGCAGAACAAACTGGGGCCTCGTGTCTCCTGTTTTGGGACAGCTGCAGAGGCACAGGCAAACGCAGCGAGAATCCACAACTGAGGAGTTCAAAAAACTGAGATAAAACAGGAAAGCTAACACAGAAAAGTTTGGAAACCCAAGTTTTTGCCAAGGGCAAGACTTTAGTTTTTATCATAAGCCTCTGGCTTATATTGGATCTGGGTTTTAACCACCTAGTTTAACTCTGGCTTCAATCATTCGCAAAAATCATTAAGGCACAGATGCTGCCTTCCCTGGGTGAGGCTGCAGTGAAGATGCACAACGCTGCTTCCCAGTTGCGTGGCTTACGCAGGGGTTAGGCAGGAGAACAGGAACTTTCCTCCTTCCGTACAAATCACAACAAAGCAGCAGAGATGGAGCGAGCTGCGGCTCTGCCTTACCCTGGGTGGGACCAGACATTGGTGCTGGGAGACCGGAGGAAGACTCTCGTAGGGATGAAGCTGTGGCACACTGTCACCCACTCGTGGATCCGGGAGGTGGAACCTGCTCCTCTGACGCCAGCACGAGTCCCCTCTGCTCAGCCTGGAGCCCACCCTGGGGACAGCAACGCACCCCCGGCTGCAAACACCCTCACTCGGAGCTCGGACCTCGCCAATCTCATCCTTTACCTTCACGGCAAGGCTACAAACAGCACAAGCAACGACTTGCACTCAATGAGAAGGAAAGAATAGTCCCTCAGAAACTGAATTTAGAACTTTAGGGCACCCTGCAATCAATCATGATTTAGTCCAATTATTCCCAGGAGCGGAAGGGCGCAGGAAACATCCCAACTGGCACACATCGTACTCCGGGGAAGGTCTGAATATTTAGAATACGGTTGGTATTCGAAACCGTGTGAGTCCTCTTCACTTCCTGTGACAACGTTTAAAAAGTAGGTATCGAACAATTTAAGGACCAAGTGTCCTTTGAACTAAACCTTAATTCTCAGCAAGAGGAAAGCAGATTAAAACCAGCAGGTATATACACACTAGCTGTATATTCACACACATTCTGTAAAAGCAGCTGAAAATGCCCTTCTCACTTTGCAAGTCTATGAAATGTACGTTGTCTTGATGCTTGTTTCCTACAAGGCCCTCACTAGAAGAGGAATTTGCTGCCTTTTCTTTGAAGAAAAGATTTTGCATGAATTTTTTCTCCTTTTTTGGCTTTTTTTTCTTTTTCTTTCTTTCTTTTTTAAACACACTGTCCTGATAGTTAATGCTTTCTCACAGGAGACTGGCCAGGCTGGTGGTGGGTCCGTTCTGTGCCTGGAACTGTACAGGAGGTGGTCCATCTGTCCACTGAAAGATAACAAACAGCATGAAAATCTCACAGCCGCGGCCTGGGGAGGAGCGGCAGCGAGGCGAGAGGAAGGAGCTCACCGCACAGACCTTCGCTGCCTTGAGATAATTAAAGATTTCAGCACAAGAAGCTGCGCATCAGGTTTGGCTTTGCTTTCTCTGCGTGGAGACGGTGTTTCTTTGGAAGCCGCTCCACGTGCCCGTCATTCCAAACCCGGCTGACTCCTGCGCTGTATCCAGGGTCAAGGGCAATCGAGTGAAAGCATTTCCTGCTCACACAGGTAGCCTCTGATCATCCACACGGGAAACCACGACTGGCACAAGCGAGGGGCCCCACTCGAGATGTGTCTGAGCCCATTAGCAGCTGTAGCATTTCCAGAGCAAGCAAAGCCTCTGGTTCTCACTTGTTACTAAAATATTTTCCTCTTACATTAGTAAAAATCTTCTAAAATGGGCAGATTTCATATTGGTTTCTTAATCCTCTTCCCCCTCCAGATTATGGAAAAGCCAGGGATGGCAGGCAGAGACGGGGAGGCTGGAGCTCACGTCTCTATGCCCAGCCCATGGGCTGCACTCGCAGATGGAGACGGGCGCCCGGCCCATCTCTCGACAGGGGCTGCACCACAAACACTTTAATTCGCACAAATCTCAGGATCCCTTTGCAAGCAAAGCCAGCAAATAGTGTCTTCCTACTGGCCTTTCCCCCCCAAAAAGGGAACACTGAAGAAAAAGATGTCAAGTTCCTCACATCTCACATTTGGACATTATTTCGCGGTGCAGAACATTAAATTATCTTACGCCCTTGCTGAGCTGCAGCTTAGGAAACCATTCTGTATTTTTACAAGAGCGTTAAAAATGTTTCTGACAGGAAGGGCACCAATACTGGAAGTTCAAAGACAGATGCACCTTCAGGCAATGGCTATACAGACATCAAATAGTGTATTAACTGGAATTCAGATTTATAGGTAAGTGGGAAAAACCCTGGGAATGCTGAAGTATCAACAGAAACAGTACTGCTTGCAGCGTACAACAGCATTCCCCAGAACAAGGCAGACTGGATGACCTAAACATCAAAATTAAACCTGAGAACATAGTAAAGTTTCTTTCCAAAGACATTTAAAAAATAAATAAATAAATAAAAATCTAAGTTCTGGTGTACCAAGAAAGCACTTCTAAGGAACAATGACCTTACTCCCCAAATAACCCCTGTAGAAGTGAATTAATTAATCGAGTCTCACTTCCTTTTCCTGTAATCAGTCCAGCTGAAGTACCAGGAAGTAGACTGAATTTCAGCAACTTACTGAGAAGTGTGCTCAGCAGAAGAAAGGAACAGTAAAGGAAAGCAGAGCACGTTGTTTTTTTTTTTTAACTGCCAGCTGAAGATTGCTTACCGTGATGAGATTGTGTTCTGGAAGACTGCACGCTTCGATGTGGTCCTGGAGGAGCTGCTGGGAGAAGTTTTGATGCATCTGTGCTGCCTCGTGCGCGTCCATGGCGTTCCCACAGGCTTTGTTCAGGTCTGCAAGACAAGCGCATCGTGTGCTCACCAAGAAACAGTGTTTGTACCTGTTCTCAACCGCCCGGCTCTCACCTAGAAAGTCTGTTCTCTGTGTTTGATGAATCCAATAATTGGTTTAAACAGCCAAAGTCACGTCACTTCCGAATGAAAACCCCTTTTAGGAGAAGCAGGGGCATGTGGGGAACCCAAACCCTTCCCGTTTCCAGTAGCGCTGGCAGTGCACCTTGCAGGGTTTGGTGTCATTTTAGATTCCAAATATTCCAAATAATATTACAGTAGCTTTAGAGAGAGGAAGCAAACTCCTCGCTCCCATACGAGCCCCTGGACAGTTTGCATTCGGATGTTTAGTTTCCAGCACCATCTAGTGGGAGCAGGAAAAGCTCGCCGGTCCCTCGCTGCAGCTCCACGATTCAGCAGCACAGGTTCCCGAGCTCAAGCAACATTTTTTCTTTAGGGAAATCTCCCTTCTGGGGGACTACAGGAGCCTGTTGCTTTGCATACACTGTGAGCTGATCCTAGCGTCTGTTTTCTGGGAGGTTTACTCACAGGAATTAGCTCAAATTTAAGATTAGTAAAGAATCACACAATTTCATCTCTAAATCCCATCCGGCACAGGGGCTCAGATGCTGCCCCTCCTACACCACGTGTCTGTGTTTTGTTATTCCTCATCAAGCAGCTTTTCTTCAAGAGCAGGTAATTAGTTCTAGAGAGGAAGCTTTTAGGAAAATCAAATCAGAACAGAAACGGCCTTTCGCTGTTCCCAGGTTAGTGGATACGACTGGAGGCAACATCAGCTGAACGCGGGGCGGTGTTTCACCTACAGAGGATTCATCCTGGCACTATCGGTGTGCTTCCCACAGGAACCACCGCTTGCAAATGGGTAAGAAAAGTCTTTCAATTGCCTGGAAGTGGTTTTGTAGCAAAAGCAACAGCAAAGCAGAAAACAAGGCTGACCCACAGGGCTCAACGCAGAGCACTGTGCTCGCAGTAAACACGACAATTTCGTATCAATTGAAGCTGCAGGGTAAGTTCTTGGGAAAATGGCAGAGTTCCTGCTTTATTTTCTAGCGAAAACAAATCAATTGCAGCGTTAATGCTGAGGGTCTGCCAAGAAGCTAGTCAATATTTGAACAAAGCATCCTGGGGCTTGTGTAAGGCAGATTAAACAATATTTGTGTATGAAGTGATATAAAAGTCTCTTATATTTATTAAAGCTCGTACACAGAAGCAAAGCCTAAGTGAAACTCAATCAAATGTTGACTAAATTGGAACTGCAGTCAAAGAGCAGCAGAGCAGCAGCGCTCACCTCTCAGCAGAGCTGATGACCAGAGCTGCACAGACATATCCGGGATCTTGCTTGCGAGCTGCATGGCTGGTACAACCATGTTATTACTTTCCTGGGGAAGAGCAGACATCAAAATAAAATGGGTATTTTTTCCTCCCTCCCTTTCAAATACACATTACATAGAGAAGTTAAATTTGTGACAAAAAAATTGTCCGCTTTAATTGCTGCCGCGTTCTAGCTAAGAAGTGGAAGCACCTGACGGGACAAGAACCCAAACACATCACCTGAAGCTGCCAAGAATTTTCTCTGTCCTAGGATTTACGGTGTCTGTTGTGCGAGATAACAAATATTTCCTGCATTCTGGAATATGGTGAGAATGAAGGAGCTTGTACCCACAATTCCTTCCAAAACAATCCAGCTGAATGATGTTCTTAGTCCCTTATTCAGCGCCGTTTTTCAAGTGCTTTCAGGCATTATAGAAACACATACTTCTAGGCTAGACTTCAAACACTACTTTGTTAAAGTGTCACTAAACATGCAAATTACAGCTACAGAATTAGTAAATCAATAAGCAAATAAACCAATAAACCAGCATTCTTAAACAATAATTTCCCAAAATGTCCTGATTTTCGATGGCAAAGGACAAGTCAAACATCTACACAGTAATAGCGGAGACAGCAAAAGCTTACCCTGTGATTCCCTAACACGTAGAATATATGACCCAGGAGCACGAGAGAACATGCTGTTAATCGATTCAAGTCTTCTGCATTTGACATCTTCAATGTCTCTCGCAAAAATCGTCTACCAAAAGAGAGCAAAAAGAAAGTGTTTTAAAAACTCTACTTTCCCTCCAGGATGTAAGAAACATCATTAAGAATGGAATGAATCCAACTGGCAAATATTGGCACTGAGGAATAAACGTGTGCTGCAGGTGACCTTAAACCAAGCACTTAATTCTCAAACCTCACCCTTCATTGAGCAGAAATGACTACGATCCTTCTTTGAACAGGTTTTGTTTCAGATGTGCCACTGCAGAACACCGCGCAAGTATTGTCACTAGCATTCAGCACTAAAGAGATCTAAACCCAACAGCATCCTGGTATTTCCCCCCAAGTAAAACAGAAGGTTGACTAAATCCACAGGGAGAAGATCTAGCAGGTTTGAAAGCAAAAGTTTCATTTTTATTTTACAAAGCTTGCTTTAGTTCCTCCTTTTTTCCCCACCTGCCAAGTGCACTGAGTGATACTCACTTTGCCTCGTTGTATCTTCCTTGGAAGAAGGAAAACAGACCTCGGATGTAGAAAGCCGCTGCTCGTAGACAGTGAGAGCTATGGAGAAAGCCATGTGTTGAAATCAAAGCATGGTGCAGTGATTAAAGGCAAGACAGAGAGATTTCTAGGAATTTGCCTAATAATCAAATCTCCAAACAAAACATTATCTCTAAAGCATGGTCAGAACTTCTGCCTTGAAAAGAAGTTGTTTATTTTGTTTGCTTTTAAAAAAAGCCTGCTACAAATCCAGTACTACCATCACCAACGCAACAACAGCATGCAGATAGCTTCTGGAATTCTCACCTCACAGGAAAATTATGGTCCGGATTTATCCTTTCCAATAAGCTGTAAAGCTGCAAAGTGGGAAGGGAAAAGAGACAATCAGCGTTTCTCACACACACGGGCTCACAGTATCTGACAGCAAGTGTTTTTATAGCAAGTGCACATCAAATCGAAAGGGTGCAAGGCACCAACACCACACTCATGTTGTACTGCTTAGCTGATAGCACCAGGTTTCATGCCCATTTTCATCCTAAAAATCAAGTTTTATACAAAATATCCTTTCTCAGACTTTCTAGAACCTTCTATACCATGTTAATAAGTCCTCAGAAACTGTCATATCTGAGCTGTTCAAGACCCAAATGAATGCTCTATCAGATTTGCCATTTAATTAAAACCAGAAATCACTTAAGCAAAAAAAAAAAGTCAACTTTTTAAATTCTTATTTTTGCTCTAAGCTTTTAACAAAGTACTGCGTGCTTGGTGAAAAAGTTAATTTCCAGCCTCTTCGCAAGCAACCTGCAAGTGTCTCTGGAAAGCTACCACCGGGGGATCAGACACATCACTGACAGAGTGCACACGGCTGAATTTTTATATTAATATGGCTTCAGGCACGCTGCTGAAGCAAAACGAACGTACACGTGCACATCCCTATTTCTGGCTGTTTAGTTAAACCTTGCTAAGGTTTTGTGTCATCTAATAAAACCCCTGAACAGATGGAAACTGAAGCGAACAGGCTGAATGAGTCAAGATGACAGAGTCAACCACACGCTTCGCACCGGGAAGCTTGCCCTCCCAGTGCTTCAGAGAATTCTGCACACAATCCACAACACTCGTGCTTCGGTGCTTTGCAGCTCAGCCACCGATACCACTGGTTCAGTGCCGTTAACTGACACTGCCCTGGTGAAGGAGTCGCCCGGCTGCCCGACAAGGCACTGCTTTGCAAAAATGCTCAGAAAAAAATGAATAATCCAAGCACAGTAGCTTGTTTGCTTTCTTTCCAAGAAAGTTCTGACTTTGAGAACGCCGGTCGGAACCCAGCTTACCTCTTGGTGCCGGTTGCCTTCCCTGATGTACACGCTGGCTAAGTTTGTCACAATAAACGCCCACAGTTCTTGATGTGTAGTGAGCTGAAACAAAGAAGATACCAACAGCACAGTCAGACACTTCAGCATCTAACCTGGAATTTGCTCACCTTATATAAATCACAGATTGGGTGTCTGACATTCTTCTGTTAATAAATCCTCCTGACCTGAACTGTGATCAGCGTAGAAAAAACTGAACTAATAACCAGAGACGATCTCCAGATTTCCCTTCCAACCTCAACTGATTTGCGACCCACACAACAAGCCCATTTCCACACTGAACAGCCACAGTAAATAGTTTGGGAAGAAAAAAATCTTACCCTCAGTGCTGTAGTAAATTGTGCTTCTGCATTGTCCATGCAATTAACAGAAATGCAGTAGAGCCCCTGTAGAAAACATGATATTTCTAAGGTAACACAATATGATTATAGAAAACCGAGAACGCACAGAAAGGCATGCACAAAACTGCAGAAATCTCAGGATGTTAGCAGGAAAAAAGGGAAGCAGCAAGTCTTAGTTTTGCTTGGCTCTCGGAAAAAACAAACAATTTCTATACAAAGGCCTTCCAAATAGTACGCTCCTGTAAAAACTGCCCCATTTATCTAAAAACTCCTCTTAATTTCTTATAAAACTCAAACAGCAATGCTATACAAGTGCTTCCCCTTACGCAGTTCCCACAACATGCTCCAACAAGCACAGTGCAAATCCTGTGTGTTCAGCTTGCACACTAACCATCACACCACACGTCACTCGTTTTAAAAAGGGATTTAAGCCTTTGACAGGCTTGAATTAACACTGGGCGCGAGTCCCCACAGCAGGACGGGCAATCGATAGCGCAGAGCCCGTCACCCAGCAGGAAATCTCGCTGCCTGCCTCGCTACGGTCTCATTAGTTCCTGGGGAGGAAGGTGAGCCTTGGGTTTGCTCTTCCAAAGAGTCAAAAGTTTACTGCTAATCACAGACACTTACTAACAGAGTGTGCAGCTGGGCAGCGTGATTGGAAAATAGTCTGGGAGACTGCTGGCAGAGCTGACAGACTTGGGAAATCTGTTAGGAAAAAATAAAAATATTTTAAGATACTTTTTCTCCATTTCATTTTACGCTCTAAATCCATCTACTTGCATCACACGTGTCATTCAGAACGTTTCAGTGATTGGTTCCAGAATCCCAAGTCCTGCTCTTAGGTAGAAGCAGAGGCCAGGCTTGCCTCACGCCGTGGTACGCACGCTGCTCCACACACACACCTCCCACGCAGCCGCACGCTCAAACCGGTTCTGAATTATTTGCTTTGCAGCAGCTCCACCATATGGTGGCACCACCTGCAAACCAAGCCACAGATCTCTTCCGACACACTCAGAATTGGGAGCTGGCATGCAACGGAAAAACTGGGACCAAAAATCTTCCACAGGGCATGTGCTTGTGACGAGTTTTATGAGTTTTATGAGCCAGAACCGATGATGATTCTTTTAGCAGGCTAACGTTCCCCCCATCCGCCAGGAGAAGGCGGACAGCAGAGGCTGGGATGTACAGCAGTGTGTCCTATAAATACAGGATGGATGGACAGGAATTAAAAATGGCTGAGAAGGGAAAGAAAGCACAGTTCTTTCTTGCATTAGAATGCCATTGCCCTTCTCCTTCCCCCCAAACTAAATAAGAGGAGGAAAGGATGAAGGGCAGGGAACCTTAAAAACTGAGAAATACTTGGGACACAACAGGAATGCTGAGAGTTAGGAGCCACTCTCCGTCATGAATCTGAGAGAAAGGGAAAAGACACCAGAGTCTGACTGCGACGTATGATCAGGAACACGTCAGTTGTAGCCACTGATTAATTACTGTTGACTCCAAGAGCAACTCCAGAGTGTTCTTAAATAAAATATTTAAGAGGCGACAAATTCCACAGCTTCAGAGTTGTGGTATCCTGAGGACGGTCAGGCCTGACTACAGCTGTCAGTTCCAGCAATCAGCACTGCTGGAATCCCCATCTCAGCCCAGTTATCTTCCTCAAAACTAACACGGCCGTACTTTAAAAGTTATGAGGAAACCCCACGTTTACCTCCTGCAACGCTGTGGCTTTGTGTCCCGTGACAAGCCGACACATGATAATGTGTTCCAACAAAATAACTTGGAAAGATGACAAGATAGGGCTGCAGTCCAGCACTGAGGAGGGAAAAGCAATTCGGTAAGTGAAGTGAAGACAACGCGAACATCCCAACCACGCAGCCTCCCCGCACCGAGCCCGCTGCCGCAGTTGCAGGTGGTTCACCAAGACTTCAACATAAAGATCCCTCTGCAGAAATCTAGAGAGTGATGTCTTTGGCTGGACCTCCTGGTGTCAGAAGGGGCAGAGTACTGCCCAGCTCCTTTTCCATATGCTACGGGAAGGATGGCACAGGTTTTAAAAACAAAACAAAACACACACAGGAAAAAAACCCCAAACCCCACCAAAACGATACCTGAACTGTCAGGAGCTGGAGTCTGAGCACCAGTTAAAAAAAAAAAAAACAACACACCTTGGGAACACATGCTCATTTTAGAGAATCAACAGCTTGGCTAGCCAAACACACGGACAGTCAGAAAGGCAGCATGACACCATAGGTATTTACAGTCCCATTTACTGGGTTAGAATAAAAACCACCAAAACTTGCTTTCTGTGTTCAGAGTAACCATCCAGTTTTAAAACAAAGTTCCTAGATGCAGCCTGCTGTCCCGGTGAGCTAAACAAGGTCGTTGCCGTTTTATTTGGGTTTTTTAATTAGCAACAAGTAATGGAATCTTGCAGCATCAGCTACATGATAACCCTTATCCTTACTTTTTAGCTTCTCTAGCTGCATGAGTGCTTTGTCTGTGTACTTCTGAGCCTTCTCCAGGTACCCCGCTTGCATGGAATGCATCACTGTCACCTGCCGGAAAACACAGGAAAGGTTACAAAAAATCACCTTTGCAAAGAGGAAAGGTCTTCACACAACTCCTCAGCCACCAGCTTTGTAAACTACATTTTGACAACACTGCAGAATATAATCATATTCAAGAGGTGAGGCAACTCGTTTCAGGAATTTCAAGTCAAGATTGTCACTCTGTTGGTAAAAAACAAGCCAACATAGCTCTACTTTGCATAAGTTAATTTATTCTATTTGGCTTGGATATTAATGAAGTTACATTCCAGTTCCAGACTTCTTACACAGTCTCTTCAAACACTGACATCACGGAAAGCAGGAGTCTCACAGATGCTGTGGCAGAATTAAACTGCCAGTGCAACGTAAAGCAGCATATGGTCTGCAGAATCTACCGCTGCTGGCTCCAAGCGATTTTTAACCAATTCCTCATTAATTAGCAATATACGTTAAGGAAAAACGAGCTTCTCACCAAGTAAACAAGCACACACATGTGTTCCTTGGGCAGCCAGTGGAAGAGATCAGCGGGGTTGCTGGGCAGAATTTCATCGTCGTGCAGCGTGGAGATGGTCTGGATGCACTGCTGAAGCTGTTTCAGGCAGGGCTTCACACTTTTCACCTGCAAAAGACGATTCACATCAGCCATAGCTGCTGCAGACCAGATGCTCAAAGATTTACTTAGTTGGGAAAACATTCCAGGCAATAAATGATCTCCACATTCAGGAAATTAGTTGACGCATAAATCACAACACTAGCACGACCCAACAGTGCGTGCTTTAGGTCTGTTCCAGGATTAACACCAACCAGCCCTTCATATGACCAACAGACACTCAAAATATCTTCCAAAGTTACACACAAAGGCTGTTATCTTCACCAACGTTGCATGGAAGCACGAGCAGCCACCATGGTTAGGTTACAGGCACATCACAATAAACCTTTCCGTGGGGAAGAGGAAATGGATGAAATTTCTTCAGTTCTCATTTAATTTGTGATTAAAACCTACAGAAATTAAGTTTCACTAACAAGAAGCACAGCATAGCAAAAAAAAAAAAAATCCCCCCAAATCACCTCACTGCAATAACCATCTCCTTTGGAGGCAGTTCTCTTTTTCCCCAGTTCTCACATGGGAAATAAAAGCGGCACAACTCGCGCGTACCTGCCCAGCATCCAGGTAATGCGTGACCTGCAGGACCAAGAAGAACACGCGTAACGACTCTTTCTGGATGGGGTTTCCTTGCCAGTTTTCAACTATCTGTCCGCAGAGGGTGAGGAGAGGGTGCACCTCCTGCAGCTTGCGTTCCATTAGAAGGAGCTACAATTTAAAATAAAAATTCAATATTTTTGTGCTACACGGTTGAAACACTCAGAGAACCACAGCAGAGCCCCAGGTACGTTAATCTATTATTTAAAACAAAAACAGACTCAAAGAAATCCTATTGCAAGAGCACCAGCCTTTTCACACCACCAGATTTCTCATCCCTAATTACAAGGGCTCCGGTGACAATTGGCAATTGTCCTTTTTCCTTTCATAAAATTGTTTGTCCTAATTAATAAAAGAGGAAAAAAAGCCAAGCCTTTTCACAAGAATCTCCCAAGAATCCTGCAGAATTAAGGCTTATCCCAGGTATATTTTTATACTGTGCTTGCTCACATGAACATAACAGAACATATCAAGCACAGGTGAGCATGCAAGAGACCTCAAAACGAATAGCCTGTGTTCTGGCAGGTTACATTCTACTGCTCTGTAACTTGCATTATACTAGTTAAACTAGAAGATAGTTTATTTTAAAAGTACATCCAACTTACCATCCCCTTGCTTAGCAGAAACAGTGCTCTGAAATGAAACAAAATGGTGTCATGCTCAAGAACAAAGTTACCCAAACCACAACTGTGTATATAAACCCTGAGAAAAAAACCAGATCTGCTCTGCTAGATGGAACAGTCCAGTGGTAGCCCCAGGAATCAAAATCCCAGCCCCTGAGGTTTGTATCCAAGCTTTGGACAGTTCTGGTTACAACAGTTTCTAAGGCTGAAAGAGGCTAGGGGGAAACTGGCTGACAGAGCCAACAAAAAAAATTAATTTTGAGAAGAGACTCTCCAGCATCTTGGTGGCCATTATTGGTTTTAACAGAAAAAGGAAAGAGCTGGAGAAACACTCAGATCTAAGAGAACACTCAGAAATACTGTTTTTTTTTAAAAAAAACCCACACAGCAACAACATCTCTAAATAAAACGCAGAAGAAACCAAAATTTTTTCTGTGGGAAGGCAAAAAGGTCGAGGGAACTCACCTGGTGTACTCTGATCCTACCACCCGAGCGTATTCTGCTCCTACTCCGAGAAGGTCACATGCAGATACTAAGTCTTTTTCAAGTGTATGTAGTTGCTGAAATAAAAAAAATTCATAAGAGATCAGCACTTTCTTTGTGAACTTAATGAGCCATTTTTTAAAACATAATTGCTCCTATGCTTTACACATGGCAAGTGTTAAACTAGTACTTGTTAAATGGACCATCTGATTTTAGACTTGTTTTCTGGGAACACCTGGCATTCTCCAAAAAAAGTCTGTAACATTTCAAAGAAAAAGTGTCAGCCCAGTTTCACACCACGCAAAGTTGTTATAATTCATTAAAATCATGTGCAGATCAGATCCCAACTGCTCCAGTATCACCGTGGACCGTTACACTGGAGTAACTGGAAAAACAGAGTGTCTTTTCCAGCAAGAAGAGCAGAGGAAGTCCCCAAGGTATGCTTCAGGTAACAGGGAGAGGATGAAGCAGCTGCCAGAGCACCTCTCACTCCCTCCTGCCTGCCAGCTCCTGTACCTGCTCCACACCGGGGCAGAGAGCCGCAGAGGAACAGGCACCAGGGCAATGAGACACACAGGCCGCTGCGGTCGAGCAAAAGCCAGAAAGGAAACAGCACACGGAAGAGGAATCAGCAAAGAATGTCAGGCTTCGAGGAAGGATCCTGCTCAGAGGGAGGCACCGAGAAAAATGCTTAAGCTGCTTCTGAGTACTCAGGCATTAACTCATCGCAAAGCAAACATTTGTCCTTTAATCGACAGGAGAGAGCAGCTCTCCACAACCCACTGCTCCTCACTGCACAAAGGATCTGGCAATTCCTTCCCAACAAAGCTGGTCTGCTTGTTTAAGCTCATCAGGAAAGGAGAAAAGCCAAGGGCAGGTGACTATTAAGACAGTCTTCAAAGATAAAATTGCTTCCTAACTAGCTCTCTGCCACAGAGCACCTCTAAAGAGCAATTAACTCCCTCAACCTTCGCGTTAAACACCTTGGAGCTCTTCAGAAGCTGAGAACAGGCACAACCTGGAAAACATTTCAGAGCGGTTACACAGCTGAAGTAAGGACGGTAACAAATGTTAAACACTTCAACTTCCAACATGTGCCAGTTTATTCCTAGAAGTGAAGACGGTCTGACCCGTGCAGCTGAAGCCACACTTAAGAGCACATTACGGAACTGGAAGGGTAACCTTGCTCCGAGGCCTCCGCACCAGCTGCTCTTCCCATCCCAGTCCTGCTCCGCGTGCTAATTAGGTTGAAAATAATCAAACGAACCCTTCAGGTTGGCAAGCTCCAATTCCAGCAGACTTTAGGCGAACATTTGCCCTTACTGCCAGCCATGAGGCGCATTTTATTTCGCTCTATCTCTGCAGCTGTGTGTAACCAGAGCCCACAGAATGATCCTTGCTGCCTTCTTCCCTAAAAAGCGAGCCTTGATCCCAATCCACATAATTACTTAATTTTTCTTCTTTTGCCTCTCCGTTAGCAGCAATGACTGGGGAGGGGGAGAAGGCATCCAGCCTCTTTTTAAGAGGAATACAGATATTTTCCAGGCCTTTTTTTTTCCCCAATCACAGTGCTACAGCTGAACATGGTTATCAATAGAAATGACTTACTGCAAGTTGAAAAAGCAATCTACAGTGCCAGTAGGGAGTCTGCTGGGAAATCTGGATGGCTTTGCGTAACAGAGGTTTTGCTGTATCCACTGAATTCTGAAACAGAAACACACACCCTAAGTTAGCATAAGAACAGGCTCCTGGGAACTTCATCACTAACAACAGCAACTTAAACCAATTGTGTTCTTGATCCCCCATTAAGGTCTCACAGGTCTGGAGTCTTAAAATATGAAAAGCAACAAAACCAAGTGTTTAACACCCAGGCCCACACATCTACACTCGACTCAAAGTCTCTTCAAAAATATTACCTATTAAACTCCTCTGGCCACTACTCTAACACGCACTTTTGTCCTGCATGTGAGAGAAAAGGCAAACATTTGCTTTAGTGAAAGACTACCTAAAGCTTTTCTGGAGAAAAAGAATAAAAATAGCCTAGGAACACAACAAAAGCCTGAGGAAAACTGTCTACTTCCCTCTCTCCTCCCAAGTTAGCCTGTCTTTGTCTGAATGAGGGCTAAAGAAATACTTTGGCCAAATAAACTTCCTTTGCTGCGGACGACCTGCATGGCAGTTCCAGCAGCAGCTTCCACAATAAGAAAGACTATAAACCCTTTGAGCCTTATACTTTAGTACTCTACATTTACATTGCAGCTGGACTCTAAAAATTTCAGAAATCCTGTTGTCAGCAGCAACCTACTCCAAGACCAAAGCCACTCAAATTAAACGCCACCCTGCAGCCCCAGCACAACAGAATTTCCGAAGCAGACACAACGTGCACTCACCTCCTGACAATACAGTTCGGACAGAAGGCTGGCTGCCTCAAACTTAACATCTTCAAACTGAGGAATCTAGCAGCATCACAGTTAAGTGAATATGAAACACAGTGTGGAACACAGCAATGCTCCAATATCCCAGAAAACCCCTTTAGAGAACATACACATGAGGAAAGCAGCCCACAGCCACTGAAGTAGATCACAAATACCAGCTAAATCCCCGTCCCCAGGGCCAGGCTCTCTCTGGGGAGCTGTTTGGTGACCAGCACCCTCGCTGAGGGATCGAGGCGACCAGGCAGCGTCGCTCCACAGCGGGACGGCCAGGCAAAGGATACCTGCTGTGAGATCAACCACTGCAAGAGAACACAGGGGGTTAGTCTGCACCCCCACAGCCCGGCCCCGCTGACAGGGCCCCTCTC